GGCCGAAGGCCCGACCATCGCCGCCGGCAGGCCAAGCAGGCCCGGCCCCTGCCGAACGGAGTTGCCGGCGCAGCGAAGTGGAGCTGGCAACTCCGTTTGGCGGAAGGGCGGGCCTGCTTGTTAAATTTATTTTAGCATTTCCCTCTACTTTGAGGCCCAGTAATGTTGAGCAGGGAAGGGGGCTGCCCTGCCTGCGCTGTGAAAAATAGTCGTAAGGGTTACGGGAAAATTTTCCATGATAAAAGTCGTTTGAAATTGAAAATTTAAAATCAATCCCTATCGACTTGGAATTGACCGTCGAGCAAGAATGGGCTGACGTATATTTACGACTCATTTTGTAAATCAAAATAACAACAAATGTCGTACATTTACGAGGATATTTTTCACAGTGTGGCGCAGTATTGAAAGGTAGGATAAGGTCCTGGCGCGACACTTAGCCAGTCAACCACTCAACGATTGCCCAAAAAAAAAAATGTTTCGTGGACTGCGCTGTACTTTTCGGGAGCAGATGCTAGATACACCTCAAGTTACTTAAATATCTTCATGTTTCGCCAAAAGGTTAAGGTATCATCTATTAAAAACATAATGCACCCAGATTGACTACTGAACTTTGCTCACAAGGCAAGGGGGAAGGCGAGGGATCACGAATCTCGTATTGTGCACAACGGTTGTTCATTTTGTTCATGGTTGTTCATGTCATGACTAGGGATGGCTTCGGTATTATTCCTAGAGGTACTATTCGGTATTATTCCGGTATGATTCTGGATTTATACCACGAGACCAAAAATACCACGTATTGTACTTTTTCACAGGTTTCGTGAAAAAACACGTAAAAATTTATAATGTAACGATTGTAAACGGCTTAAGGGGCTACATGTTCGTAGTTCCACTTGGTTTTCAGCCTGCCCTGCTGCTTTTAAAAGAGCATTAAAGCGGGCTTATGCAACCGCTCTCGTGTCCGTCTGTCTGTCGTCCGTGTAAGAGGAAGGAGGTGAGCTAGGGGTCTACAAATTTCAGGGTATGTCAGGGGTCACTCCTGGACAACGAAACGCCTGGTGCAAATCCTGGCAACCACCCCTAAGGGGTGAAAGGGGGTAACAAAGAGATAGGGGTTGGTCCAAAAAGTGGGTAAAAAATATTATTGTTATGGTCGTCAAAGGGGCAACTCGTGAAAGTAGAGGTCTCTGGGCGAAAATGTTGTCCGTTTGACTGTATCTTGCACCGTTACGGCGCTAGAGTGCTTTTTTCGACGAATATACGGCGCAAATGACCACGTTGCACATTAAGACGTACAAGAGGCGTCCAATCGTAAATTGTCAAAAGGAAATACCCCCTCAAAACAACATATTGAATCACCGGGATAAAGTTGGCCAGGAAAAATCCTGGCCAGGAAAATTTTCAAAGAAATTCGATTTTTTTTCGACTTTTTTTTTACAAAAAAAAAATCATAAAAGAACATGCTACCACACAACTAGAAAAAAAGATTTCGTTGGATAACAAAAAAGCGGAAAACCAAGCAGAAGTGCAGCAACGCCATCTAGAAGTTTTTTTCAGAATTTCAAACAGCCGTACAATCTAAACACTAGTGGTACAAATCCTGGGCTTCCAGGGGGCTGTTCTACTACCCACCGGGTACCTTGAAGCCGAAGGGCACAACTTGTACCACCAAGGTTTGCGAAAAATCGCGCTTATAAGCGGAATTTGACTTTTAGCCGTTTTTGTCAATTTCAAGGCGCCGTCTCACCTGAACCCTGGTGGTACAAATCCTGGGCTTCCAGGGGGTTGTTTTACTACCCACCAAGTACCTTTGGGCCGAAGGACTCGATTTGTACCACCAAGGTTTGAGAGAAATCGCGCCTATAAGCGGAATTTGACTTTTAGCCGTTTTTGTCATCTTCAAGGCGCCGTCTCACCTAAACCCTGGTGGTACAAATCCTGGGCTTACACGGGCTGATTCTACTACCCGCCGGGTACCTTGGAGCCGAAGGGCTCGATTTGTACCACCAAGGTTTGAGAAAAATCGCAAGGCAAAGTGTGGCCTCCGACTTTTAGCCGTTTTTGTCAATTTCAAGGCGCCGTCTCACCTGAACCCTGATGGTACAAATCCTGGGCTTACAGGGACTTGTTCTACTACCCGCCAGGTACCTTGGAGCCGAAGGGCTCGATTTGTACCACCAAGGTTTGAGAGAAATCGCAAGGCAAAGTGTGGCCTTCAACTTTTAGCCGTTTTTGTCAATTTCAAGGCGCCGTCTCACCTGAACTCTGATGGTACAAATCCTGGGCTTACAGGGACTTGTTCTACTATCCGCCGGGTACCTTGGAGCCGAAGGGCTCGACTTACCACCAAGTTTTGAGAGAAATCGCAAGGCAAAGTGTGGCCTTCGACTTTTAGCTGTTTTTGTCAATTTCAAGTACCCGTCTCTTCTGTACCCTGGTGGTACAAATCCTAGGCTTCCAGGGGGTTGTTCTACTACCCACCAGGTACTTTTTGGCCGAAGGACTCAAATTGTACCACCAAAGTTTGAGAGAAATCGCGCCTATAAGGGAAATTTGACTTTTAGCCGTTTTTGTCAATTTCAAGGCGCCGTCTCACGTGCACCCTGGTGGTTCAAATCCTGGGCTTCCAGGGGATTGTTCTACTACCCACCGGGTACTTTTGAGCCGAATGGCACGATTTGCACAACCAAGGTTTACGAGAAGTACTGCGATAAAACGCGCACATTGACTTCTAACCGGTTTGTCGATTTCGAGACACCGTCTCACCTGAACCCTGGTGGTACAAATCCTGGGCTTACAGGGGCTTGTTCTACTACCCGTCGGGTACCTTGGAGCCGAAGGGGACGATTTCTACCACCAAGGTTTACGAGAAATAGCGCGATCAAACGCGCACATTGACTTCTAGCCCACTGTAAAAATTCATTGTCACGATGACGAAAATACCATGGCTAATTTTTAGTACAGGGCTGTCGTCACGAATTTTCTCGTCACGGTGACGAGAAAACCCTAATCATGTGACGAAAAAACCCATGACGACACCCCTGTACTAAAAATTAGCCATGGTTTTTTCGTCATCGTGACAAAGAATTTTTACAATGCGGTTTGTCGATTTCGAGACGCCGTCTCACCTAAACCCTGGTGGTACAAATCCTGGGCTTCCAGGGGGTTGTTCTACTACCCACCAGGTACCTTTGAGCCGAAGGACTCGATTTGTACCACCAAGTTTGAGAGAAATCGCGCTTATAAGTGAAATTTCACTTTTAGCCGTTTTTGTCAATTTCAAGGCGCCGTCTCTTCTGTACCCTGGTGGTACAAATCCTCGGCTTCCAGGGGATTGTTCTACTACCAACCGGGTACTTTTGAGCCGAATGGCACGATTTGCACAACTAAGGTTTACGAGAAATACCGCGATAAAACGCGCACATTGACTTCTAACCGGTTTGTCGATTTCGAGACACCGTCGCACCTGAACCCTGGTGGTACAAATCCTGGGCTTACAGGGGCTTGTTCTACTACCCGTCGGGTACCTTGGAGCCAAAGGGGACGATTTCTACCACCAAGGTTTACGAGAAATAGCGCGATCAAACGCGCACATTGACTTCTAGCCGACGATGACGAAAATACCATGGCTAATTTTTAGTACAGGGCTGTCGTCACGAATTTTCTCGTCACGGTGACGAAAAAAAACTAATCATGTGACGAAAAAACCCATGACGACACCCCTGTACTAAAAATTAGCCATGGTATTTTCGTCATCGTGACAAAGAATTTTTACAGTGCGGTTTGTCGATTTCGAGACGCCGTCTCACCTGAACCCTGGTGGTACAAATCCTGGGCTTCCAGGGGGTTGTTCTACTACCCACCAGGTACCTTTAGGCCGAAGGACTTGATTTGTACCACCAAGGTTTGAGAGAAATCGCGCTTATAAGCGGAATTTGACTTTTAGCCGTCTTTGTCATCTTCAAGGCGCCGTCTCACCTGAACCCTGGTGGTACAAAACCTGGGCTTCCAGGGGCTTGTTCTACTACCCACCGGGTACCTTTGGGCCGAGGGACTCGATTTGTACCACCAAGGTTTGAGAGAAATCGCGCTTATAAGCGAAATTTGACTTTTAGCCGTTTTCGTCAATTTCAAGGCGCCGTCTCTTCTGTACCCTGGTGGTACAAATCCTGGGCTTCCAGGGGATTGTTCTACTACCAACCGGGTACTTTTGAGCCGAATGGCACGATTTGTCAGGAATAAGTCAGAACAAAGTATTTTTTTATGATCTCCTAAGGGGTAACTCGTCAAAGTAGAGCCCTTTGGGCGAAAATTTTGTCCGTTTGGCTCAATCTATAACCGTTTAGGCGCTGGATGGTCTTTTTTTGACGAAAAAAAGCTTAAAATTGCTGTAGTGAACAATAAGTTGTAGAAGAAGGCCCAAAACCGCAAAAGAGGTAAGAAACTCCCTCCCCCCACCCCAAAAAACGTTTCCTTAGCAGAAGGGTGGGTTGTAGTCGCGGTGTTTCACCGTTACATCCCTTTCTTGTTTTTACGGGGCAAATTTTAAGGACGACGGGCTTTGCGGGCCGAAGGCCCGTTACATCATTTGATTATGTTCTACAGCAAATCGCGTGACAGAAATGCTCGGGCCGCAGGCCCGACCATCGCCGCCGGCAGGCCAAGCAGGCCCGGCCCCTGCCGAACGGAGTTGCCGGCGCAGCGAAGCGAAGCTGGCAACTTCGTTTGGCGGAAGGGCGGGCCTGCTTGTTCTACAACCTATTGTCCACTATGGCAATTTTTAGCTTATTTTCGTCAAAAAAGACCCTCAAGCGCCTAAACGGTTAGAGATAGAGCCAAACGGACGAAATTTTCGCCCGAAGGGCTCTACTTTCACGAGTTACCCCTTAGGAGAACATTTACAAAAATACTTTTCGGGAGAATTTTTTGAACCTTGGATACCCCCATTCACACCCTTAGGGGTGGTTGCCAGGATTTGCCGTAGGCGTTTCGTTCTCTAGGAGTGGACCTTAAGATACCCTGAAAATTTCAAGTCTCTAGCACATCTTCTAGTGGAACAGACAGACAGACACACAGACAGACACACTGTAAAAATTCTTTGTCACGATGACGAAAATACCATGGCTAATTTTTAGTACAGGGGTGTCGTCATGGGTTTTTTCGTCACATGATTAAGGTTTTCTCGTCACCGAGACGAGAAAATTCGTGACGACAGCCCTGTACTAAAAATTAGCCATGGTATTTTCGTCATCGTACAACAAATTTTTTTACAGTGACACGAGGTCGTTCGCATAAGCCCGCTGGATAGCTTTTTCAAAGCAGAAGGGCGGGCTAAAAAAGAAAGATTATGAAAACCAAAAAGTACCAATATTAACGAAAAATACGGTATTATATTCCGGTATTTTCAAATCAAAATATACCAAACAATAAAATACCGCTTTTTTCCATCCCTGGTCATGACATTAACGTCACATAAACACATTTAATTCATGATAGGAAACCTCACGCACCTCGTAAGCAAAGTTTAGTGATGGAACATCGAACATCCTACCCTGGATTCATGATTCATGTAGGTTAGTTCCCATGGGTGTCTTTTTTGGGGGAGGGCAGTCCCCCCCCCCCCCCCACCTTATCTTCGGGCACTGCACTGTAAAAATTCTTTGTCACGATGACGAAAATACCATGGCTAATTTTTAGTACAGGGGTGTCGTCATGGGTTTTTTCGTCACATGATTAAGGTTTTCTCGTCACCGTGACGAGAAAATTCGTGACGACAGCCCTGTACAAAAAATTAGCCATGGTATTTTCGTCATTGTACAACAAATTTTTTTACAGTGTGGTGAAACCGTGGGGGGACACCACTTCGATTTAGGATGTAGGATCACGTGATTACAAGGATTACACACGTAAAATATGAGCGATTAACCATGAATTTTGTTGAATTTCTGGTTCTAAAACCATTAAATTTGGACAAAAGGGTAAAATTTAGTGATTCTGGATAAAAAATTGACATAGGGGTTACACCCCTTACACCCTCATCTGTACACAGGATTACGCGAGTGATGGCCCCCTCGGGCCTCGGGTGAAACGACTGAAGGGAGGCACCATTTCGACGCGTCCTAACAACAATGTTCTGTCTGCAGCGAGCGGATTACACAATGTTCTATCTGCAGAGTGCTGTGTATACACAATGTTCTATCTGCGGCGTGCGGATTACACAATGTTCAATCTGAAAAACGCGGGTTTCGGGACAGCTCCAAAGGAATGCTCATTACTCCGTAACCGCTCGTCCTACTTCACTTTTTGCAGTCAATAATTAAACATTGGACCATTACGATTCTTACCGTGTGCTTGAATTGGCCTTAATGTCTTCCAGTTCCTTTCAAGCCACACAAAGGTGAAGGGCTGCGCCTAACCCCGTTTTGCAGATAGAACATTGTGTATTAAGCAGTCTGCAGATAGAACATTGTGTATTCAGCACTCTGCAAAAAGAACATTGTGTATTTAGCACTCT